AGATAGATAGATATAGATATATATATATATATATATATATATATATACTGTTTAAAATCATGGTTTGTGATCACTTGCATAGGTCATATAAGGCCTTTATTCTGAGGATTCTGGTCACTGACAATGATTACCAATACTGAATAAAGGAATACTGAGAGTAAGCTTGGCAGAAATGCTATTGTGATTATATGTGATGGTAATGATTGGAAGTAAACAGATTAGCATTTGGGAACACACAGTCAGCAATAAAATGTAGGACTAAACTCTTGGCTCTCACAATATCTACCTCATTTCCAAAGGGATGTCTGCACATACTGTACATAACCCTGTTATTTTTCAAATCCCTTGCAAACATTTGTACTATTTGTATTTTTGTTTATTTATAGCTGTTTCAAGCACTTTCTCCTACAGTTCAAGACCTATCTTAGTGATTTGCAATGTAAGATTAAAGATTGTCTGTCATCACCATGTAACCCCAAGCTTGACCAGTTTTGTAAATTTGTCATAGTTGAGTATAGTAGGTGATACTCCTTTTATTTGCACAAACAGTTAATTTTATGATATTTCATAGAGAAAGAAACTAAAAATTAAGAGTCGACCTGTTCCTGGCCAGTCACGGATTTTTAATATCAGAGGGCACATGTTGAAAGTCCAACATACACAGCAAATTTGGACTTTTCTGTATGCATTGAATATTGGACCAATTTCACAAATCAGTGCCAACGATGTTTCAGTGAGCTCCACAAATGAAGGAGAAACTTAATTTGGGGAACTCGCTGAAACATCGTCAGTACTAATTTGGGAATTAAAGAAGCTCAGGGTAAATCTCTATTGTAGTTTTGCATTGTGGGCTAAAATAAGCATGTGAATGCATGTGTACATGGTAAACATGATCCCTGAACCCTTCTAGCAAATTGTACATTTATGTTCAATGCATACAGAAACGTTTAACAGGGTTATTCACAAAAGGGTGAAGAGTTTGGAGAAGGCAGGAGATTTGGAAACATTCTACAATTCAGCTTACTTTCCAGTTCACCTATGATGTCCTAGATTGTTCACTTCTCCTGCCTTCTCCAAACTCTTCACCCTTTTATGAATAACCCTGTAAGTTTGCTATGTGTGTTGAACTTTCAACATGTGCCCTTTGTTCTAATAAGGTGAACTAATAATTTGTGCCAACATTTTACCTGATAACAACAAAAAAATCTCACACCATTATATGGTATAACAATTGTATTAAGAAAAAAAAAGGCATTAATAAATACAAAAGACCAATGCATTTGAATGGGTCATCTGAATGACCATGTAACATCCTCAAGGAGTAAACGACTCCTGACTGAGTGGCAGGGGGCACAAAATGCATGGAGTTCCTCCCATTGGCCTGAAACGTGACCCTTTATACTTGGATTGACTTGGGGGTTGCACTGCCATACAGGCTGAAAATACTTTTGGTAGCAATAGGACAGGATCAGTTAATTTGTGATTTACATTGCTTGCATTCATGAAGACCTTTCAGTTATATATACTTCCTGTGGCCACAGCGGGCATATGCATGCACACTGTGATCACCCAGCACAGCATGCAATAAAACCAATTAAGGCAAATATAGCAAAAATTGCACCAGGGTGCAATGCCACTGCTTTCTTTGTAAACTGCTCTCACATCCCCAGTGCAAACACCCTTTCCTCACAGTAGGCTGCAGACAGGACCACGGTACTCTCTTTGTGGTAGTATCAGCCTTCTCTGCAGCATTCTTACATGCCCCCTGTGAATCAGACCTACATCAGTCCAATGTTCTAGCAAGCATTCCATAGAAGAATACACTAATTAGTAAATTCCCCTTAAAAATACTCTAGGCTGTGGGTGTGCATCTGTGTGCATCAAGCACATACCGTACATAGTGCTGTAAAGATATGATTTGGGCATCCAGATACGATTGATGCACTGCTGTACACACATAAGCGTTAGTAAATGAGACCCTCTATGTCTACTACAATGCTGAGTGCTCTCAATGCAGCGATCAGGTTTTTCCATGAGACTTCCAAATGTTTTATTGTAACCTAATCAGCCCTTCTCCAAGAGTCTTTGCAACCTCTGCCTCCTAATAATTAATTTCTATTATGAGGCAATGTAAGGATCTATACTCAAACAGTGTTGACCATCATTACAGCTCAATAGCAGGAGAAAAAAATGCACGCTTTGCAGCACACAGTTAAAAACAGGCAAAGTCACAAAAAAATCACTAGGGTTGATTTATTAAATTAATAAAGACTGTAGTGCACAGCTGTGTTACCTTCAATTATCCAGTCAAGTAAAAATCTTTTTTTTCTTCTTCTTACATGTGATTGGTGATGATAAAGTGAACACAGCTTTAGCTTATTTACTTAACTATGTTAACATACACTTTTCAAAGTAAATATTCACCTGGCAAGGAAACAGCTACTACTACTACTACTACTACTACTACTACTACTACTACTACTACTACTACTTCTACTACTACTACTACTACTACTACTACTACTACTACTACTACTACTACTACTACTACTACTACTTTAGTCTCTCATTACACTGCAAAATATTCACTTCAGGCAGCCTGAAAGACATGAATATTCCTGTGGAACAGGGTAAGTAAGGCTTTGTCTTATAATCTGAAATGTTGGTAATAAAATAAAGTTAGTCTTCAAACCATACTGGGTGCAATAAATGAGACTGCTAAAGGGTGTTAGGGATGACATCAGCCTACTCACCAGCATCCAAACTGGCATTTGTTTTTAGAAGCCATTATAATGGATACAGTGGACACAGTTTATTGTGACACCATAAAACATACAGAAAATAAATACAGTATATTGAACAAAATGATCCTGGCTCCATATCAACCAGATGGCATAAAAAGAAAGACGCAGATGCAAAGGGAAAGGATAATAAAGTTACCATTGTGAAAATATGTGGTCAGGAGCAGCAGAAGCCAATTCATTTTATGGCTGATGATGGAAATGAATGTACTGTAGCCTGTAAGCAGATGGATGTACCATTAACAAAAGTGTCTTTATGATTCCCCTCCATAGCTTTAACAGTTATTAATACAACTCAGGGTCAATGCACGTTGGAATAGCACCCTACCTGTTGCGAGGGCTTGGTCCTATTCTTTGACAGGCCACAGTGGTGGTGGAATGTTTTCCTCCATTTCCCAGTTCTTGCTTAGCATCCCACCGCCGGGCGTCACTGATCTTCACATTGAGAATGTTGACACCTTTCTTCACCTTGGCCCTGTGGTGACAGATACAATATCACCTTGATATATTATTTTACATCAATATTTTGGGAAACTTTATTTTTTTCAGTTTAATTTTTACCTGCCAAAGCCACAATGAAGTATGTACACATTTACTGAAGAACAGTATATCTTCACTGTATCCCATATATTGTCAGCAACATAAAAATAAAGATTCATTGTAAAACAACTTTGCATTAATCATAGAGTTTGTACACATTTTGAAATACTACAAATTATATAAAATTGTACACCATAGAATATCGTTAACTAGTAATATATTCATTATCTCCTTTTGTACCTAAATAATGATTTCATTATAGAATATCTTTCTCACGCAGACCATCTTGATCTTGTTATAATATTTATAGGTTATATACTGTTTATATATTTCAAAATTGAAGAAATATTCTAGTCTTCCGCAAGTTTTTGTAACTTCAACCAATTGTTATCCTTGAATGATAGAGGGAGGGTTTGAAGGAAGAGAACATGATGAGAATAGTTTTGTTCAGTCTGTAAATCACCTCATAATACATTGGTGTTCTATAAGAACATAAATAAATAAAATGTCTGAGTGACACAACATACCTTCAGTCTCTGCAGGTGTTGCATCAACCAACAGCCTTGGCAGCATCATGTTTTGGTGGACATAGTGGATAATAAGTAGGCACTTAGAAAGTCTAAGAATTTCTAGGAAAAGGCATGTTACATTTCTGAAAACAGTCACAAGTGTAATGTTGAAAAAAATGTGTCACTACTGATAGGTTTGTATACTTGGACAGGTTTGTATACTTGGACAGGCTTTAAAAGCAGGCACCTGGCAGTACCAGCATGTACCTAAGTGTCCTTTCTGATAGCCCTGGGAGCTCAAAATGTCCAATATGCAAACAGCAGCTTTTCAGCCTGGAAAGACAGAGCTGTGTCCACCCCTTGCAATGTTCCCCTTTGCTGCCTGGGAAGTCCTGTCACTGAGCTAATGGAGGTATTAAGCCACAGGTAAGAGCTCCAAAGTTAAGCTGAAAGTAGTCATTAGGCTATAGAGTGATTTAAGTTTCAGGGTTCCTGGGGTGCTCTTCAAGGGAAACTAAAGTACATGTAGAAACCATTAAGTATCTGCTTTTAACTTTTGCTGTCAGTTTACAACCCTATCAAGTTCGCATTAAATTGGTTATATATCATGAGGAGCATGCCAGCAAAAAAAAGCATTGACAACTCAAGTTTTAAGGCTTTTGGAGCCTCCATTGGCAAGATTTCTGTTTAATAATAGTAATTTGTGTCTTCATTCCCTCTCATAAGAATACAATGGGGGGGATTTATCAAAACTGGAGCAGACAAACTCTGGAGCAGATTTGCACTGCAACCCATCAGCTTCTTTGTCTCATTTTCAAATCTTACCTGAGCAAACTGAAGAGAGATGCTGACTGGCTGCCCTGGGCAACTGCTCCAGATTCTGTCTGCTCCAGTTTTGATAAATCCCCCCAAATGAAAGTATGGCCCTTCCATTAAAATATTAATATAATTGTAGATTATGGAGAATCAGGTGAGTGCTGCACTATCATTTGGCTTTTAAATAAATACATAAATTAAAAGGAACGCTCACCAATTACATACTTGAGAGATATAAGCATGTCATTTATCAAAACAACCACACATGATCAAAATGTCAGTTTTTGGATGGAGATGGCATCTATAGCTATTAAGAGAGCACAGCTTTGTGCCATACAAAACAATCCTTTTTTTCCAGTGGACAGATTGGACATTGCTACAGTAAGGTTTCCCTTGATCATTACAGGTCACGGTCAGTATATGTTGCATGTGACATGCTGTGATAGAAGACTTTGAAAAAGAAACTTATTAATATTTGTGAATAGCCCGTACAGCACCCCCTCGGTTCTCCTGAACCGAAGGGGTCCTGGTGCCGAAGCTAGCCGAAGGATCGGCCGAAGCTACGGCCAGATCCTTCGGCAGCTTTGTGAATAGACCACTTAATATAGACAAGCCTCATGTACATTAAACTTTGTCTCCTGGGAAGTACATAGAATATAATATATATGTAAACATTGGTTTCCTTGTTGCTCTTGTCCAACCTCATAAATACTAACTATTTGCTCTAAGCGTACTTAAGAATTTGGGTGGCCCTTAGTAAGCAGTCGAATATGTAAAACAATGCAAATTCTAAGCATTTACATGGATGCACTCAGAACACAACAAGGCCTAAAATGCTTGACCTTCTCCCCTATGTAGCACACAGCTCTATAAATAATATAATGACGACTAAAACATAAATTAGGCTAAATTAACCCATCCAGTGTTTTGAGCTTATTTCAAAACCTGCAATTCAAATGCTTTTTGTTTCTTTTAGCAGATTCATAACATGTGACATTTTGGAACACTGCTAAGTTACTCATTCTACTGCTGTTTGTACGCTTTAATTGCTAAACAAACTTCATATTAAATTTATGTAAAGCCGCAGCAGCCTTTACACGGAAGCATTCAATAGCAATGCAATAAATAGACTAAAGCAGTAGTCCCTTTTGAAGGCAATATAATTGCTGTGACCTAGGGTCCTCTTGATAGTGCACTAACCTCTGCTGCAGTGAAAGTTTGCCATAGCTCTGAGTAAGATGCCTGCTATAATTGTATAATCTGTTTTAGAAAAATTACAACTAAAACTTGCAAACCTTTACTTTCCAATCCCTCCGACTGTATAAATAAAAAAGATTGTATAATACACTATACTATTTTTAAATTCTCAGGGCAACTGGACATCACTTAAATTCTGCCCTAACTTCATAAATATCCAAATGAAATCCACCCAAGGGTAAGCATTGCCGTAGATGCTTACAGAACTAGCAGAATCCCCCTGAGGCCTGTTACCAAACATTGGAGGGCTCACTCTTCGCACAGGCCTCAGTTCTCTGAAGGAATTTCAGTTGAGCGCATTAACTCTCCATCTAACTCACTGGGAACTGATTTACTAAATGCAAATAGGCTGTTCACTTTGCAAGGGAATTTTACCATAGCTTAGTGAATGAGGTAAAGGTTGCTGATGACCAGCATCCAATCATGTGCAACCAAATATAATTATTTTTCCTTGCACTTGATTGGGTATTCTTTGCAAAGTGAATTTTCACCACATTCACTAAGTTTATGGAAAATTCCCTTGCAAACTGCAAATTCCCTTGCAAAGTGAACAGCCTATTTGCCTTTATAACCCCAACCCCACTATGAGTTTTCTATTTTCATGGAGAACCTTTAATTTCTTGTATAAGGAAACTACACTTCTGTAGGCTTTGGCCATGTGTGCCAAACTAGACCATTCTGAAATCAGCAGTTCCATATATACTTTCAGGAATGTTAGGCTGTTAGATACAGTTTTTTGGGCTTGAAGGTGCATGAGTTCAGATATTCTATTCTATTACCTTCCAACAATAACTATATTGTGTATGCAACATATAGCCTCAAACACCAGCATAAAAAAAATCTAACTCTAACTAGCGTTAAACATATTTATCTGATTATACTTTATTTATCAAGATATATCCTTGCAAATAAGTCAATGAATGTCATTGATGATTTTAAGTCTATTTCAGTCTGTGTTTTTCAACATCAATAGATTAATATGGCTTAATCATTAGAATATATAGTCCATTCTCACAGCATGTTTAATTATAGAACCACTTAAAAATGAAAGCAATAGTACTGTAGACAGTTGAGTGATTCATACCACTTGCTAGGTAGTTACCTGTACACCCCGCTCCATTAGCTGAAGTAGAAAATATACTTGTCCATTTTGAGGGAGAAAATGGTTACTTAAGAGTTGATCCCATCAGGCACCTCAATGAAAAGTGATTTTCATATATTAATTGCAATCGTTCAAAGTATTTCTGTGTTTTGAGCTCTATAAATAAGTATTCTATTAACTCATGACAGACTTTGAATTAGATCTTATGTAAGGTGTACATAGAGGTTTACATAGACATAGAAGGGCATGAAAACACCATACTCATATATTTCAAAGCTCCATTGTTTCCCACCAGTGGTGATGGGAGATGGGCCACACTTACAGAATTAACTTGCACTACCTATATTGGAAAAGAATGCTAAAAATCATGGCAAGTTTTCATTAAATGTTTCTTGATGTGTACAGGGAACTAAACATAACCAAGTGGAGCGAGGAGGCTAAAACCATGTTGTCATATATTCACAGTGGTCAAAACATGCAAGTCCTCCCTATTTGACCTCACTGACCAGATGATAGATATTAAAGATAGATATTAAAGCAGACCTCTCTTTGGTCAGACACATAAAATATGATGAAATCAGCTGTTTCTTCCACATATTCCTCTGCAATGCCACCGCAAACTTATGCGGACAAAAGAGCTACTTAGAGACACACACATACACACATTTCAGCACGGCTCAGCTGAGCCGATGCATATGCGACTGAGCCACTCGGCCATGTTCGGGAGCTGTACGGGCTATTCATAATAGCTACTGAACCGAAGGGGTCCTGGGGCCGAAGCTAGCCGAAGGATCGGCCAAAGCTACGGCCAGATCCTTCGGCAGCTTCGTGAATAGACCCCACTGTGTTGCCCTGCCTTGACATTTGTTCTTGCCCACAGTGCTTTTCCTGTATTTTGTGAGGGGAATGTTTTCCCTGACTGCCTGTTTGACTCCTGTTCTAATGGACAAAGTTCCACTTTCTGACACCTATTGGTACCACTTAGATTTTCTCACTACCACTTTGTTTGCTAGGCATTACTGGGCCTAAAACAGGAACTCTATCTACCTGTCACTGGACTGGAGACAGCTATATGCTCCTCCCAGGCTTGTCCTACTGAATATTCCTTCACCAGTGCCACCTGGATCTTCATATAGGAATATTATTTATTTATTTCTTTATAACATCAGTTTCCATAGTTTCCTGAAATAGCTGAGGTTTCAGTGATCCTAACAAAAGAACTGCAATATTCTCTACGCTATGTACCTTCTA